TATATTGAAATTTTCTATTATACCAGATGGCGGGCGATAACAGCAACTCAAAAGTATATTTTTGGTGTTACTGGTTTTAATCTCTATTGTTAAGACTTCGCTATTGTCATCAGAGTTACTCATGTCAGGCCTAATAATATACTGCAAATTTTCTTTTATATAAAAAAGTACACCACCGCCTCGTTTTTTTGATTTTCGTGCTAGCGGGATCATTTTAAAGCCTCCCAGGTGGAGATTTAAGTAAGATTTGGAGTCTTCAGAGTCACACCAAGTTTCAGTTAAGCATATTATGCTAAAAAAATTTAAAGTTTCTTTTACAATGTTACATAAGTTGTCAAAGTTTTTTTTTAAACTTCTAATATTAAGATGAACAACATTAAAATGATCCTGTCGTAAAAATTCTTTTATTTCCTTGTTATAAAAATATGAGCATTTACTTTGCAATGCTACTGAATCATTAAAGTAATTTATGTCTGGATCTGAATCAATATCAATAACTAAATCATTTGTTTGAAATAAATTACATGAGATTGATTCAAAATTGGTTGGGTAATTAGAATCCATTTTAATTTTTATAACTATTTGATAGAAAAAAAAATCAAAAATCACGAGTGATAAGTTTATTATATACTACCTTAGCAAATTTACCTTTTGATCTTAAATCGTTTGCTTCTTTAAATAGTCGTTTTCTTATTTCAATCGTTTTGTCACTAAAGTCTTCATTGATGTAAAGTTTTTCGTTCCATAGTTTTAGTTTAATAAATCGATCCAACATGCAGTTTTATCTTTGTAATTAAAAAACTTCGCTACAATTGTTCTGCTTTTTTTTCTATCAGAAGCTTTCCTTCCCGTTCTATGGGCTCTTTCGATTTCTACATCATTTGTAAACCCAAGTTTTGATTTTAAAAATACCTGAACTTTTTTTTCACTTGATCATTTGTTTTTCGAAAATATTTCTCAATTTCTAAAACTTAGTTCTTACAATATGACAATCTTACAATCTTTAAATGTAAAGGTTACTTTTAAAAAGGCTATCTTTAAAAAACATTCCACCTTTTATTTTACTTTTAACAAAAACAGAATTTATAGAATATATAGAATGTACATAATTTAGAATGAAATAAAAAAATAATACTACTTTCTGGTTTCAGAAAGTCACTTCCTCCATCAAGACTGTTTGATTGTTTAAGCTTTCTTTTATCAAGTATTCTTTATTAACATTCTTGCCAATCTATTTGCTGTGTCGCTGATCGACTTTAGGTTGAAAAAAGTTGTACAAAAAAACTATCTACATATATTGTATTTTGTATTTACACATATTGTTGGTTTATGTCTGATAACTTCAAAAATTTTTTTTATTAAATTGTAACATTTCGTCCTAATGAAATATGGTATTTTCCATTATGATATATAATATGTTTTTGGGTATCCTGTACCTTGAAATCTCTGAAAATTTTAAGTGGAGAGACTCTTCTGTTTGCTCATCGGCTATATGGCTAAATAAAATATGAAGTTTTGTTGACTTATTTGATAGTTTTAAAGCACAAAAAAACTGTTACACACAAAAAATTTTTTCTATTTGTATCAAAATTATTTGCTAAATTTTTTTCAAATGTAGACTAAGAAACCACATCAAAAGTATCGAACGCGTTACAAAACCCATGAAGATTATCCAAAAAATTTCTCTTAGTTATTTGGATAGTTTGAGTAGCCTTTTACACTAGGGTCCTGTCATTTTAAAGTATAAAATATGTTTAATTCAACAATTTTTTATTCATTTTTATTTTAGGTACCCAAAGAAGTTCACGCCTCCTTCATTACCGATGTTATAAAACTTGCCCAGGTGGCGTTAAATCATGGATTTTATTTTTGATAAAATCTGACATATTATTATGTATGAACTTCAACTTTCCCTTCATGATACTTTGCTTTTAAAAGACCATATTTTATCAAAAAAGAAAAAACCTTTCCTTAGCTCCTCAGGAGTGAGCTAACTCAATCCAAATGATGTTGACACAACCTTAATAATACAAATATAGAAGTTTAAATAAAACTTTAAAATATAGAAGGTTGTTTTAAAAGTATAGCTTTATCGATTTCATATTCATAATGCAATGTAATAATTATAGGTATTATGGTAATTTTACGGAAAATTTTTAAAAATATTTACAGTGAAACTGCGTAGTTTTGGAATAATGCAAATGTCTAGAATCCTGGTTGAAACATCTCCTACCAGTAACGGAAAATTCTTGCAGTTGTTAAAGTCTTTTAGGTTGGTATCTTTTTCCTAGCTGCCAAGCTAAATTGTTTTCTTCTATTGATCTATATTTATTGATAGAAACAAGAAATCTTCCATGTCAGAACTTATTTCAAAAACAACAGGGATGTTTAGCACCTAACATGTAAGCCCCAAAATTTGTATGATGCACAAATAATGTAATAAATTTAAGATGGGCACCCTTTTTATATTAGTTTGGAAAGTTTATGATTCCTAGACCCATTTTAAAACTACCACCTCCACCATCAGCAAACACTTTAACCTAAAACAGATTTTTTTAAAAAAAAAAGAACATGTGATTATGCATCATTTATTAAACCATTATGTATATATGAAAACTACCAGAGCATCGTGAAGTTGAAATTTTCTCAATAATTTTCCATAGATATTCTTAACAAAAACAGAGAGTCTAAATAAAAACTGCTACTATTGGTAAAGGAACGAAACAAAATAAAACAATGTTTAACTTATAATATCCTATAATAAAATAAAATTTGCTAAGTTGTCTTATACAATAATATAGTGACAAATATAATTAAATAAAAAATAATTTTTGGGAACCAAAAGCTTTATGGTCGACAATTTCAAGGAATTCTTGTGAATATTTATTTGACTTATGTAAATGTTTGGTAAGACTTGATTCAACAAGATTTTTGAGCATGTTTTACTCGTATGCAATGTTGTTAATACTTCTTCCTATAAATTGTTTGTGAATTATCAGATTTTTTTTATATCATTATGAGTCCACACAGGAATAACATAATAGATACTCCTACAACCATTTTATTTTAAAGTTATAGTTATAGAGTTTTTTATACCAATATGAGTCCACACAGGAAAACATGATAGATACTACCTACAGCCATTTTATTTTAAAGTTATAGTTATAGAGTTTTTAAAATTCGGATTCAGCTTCAAGATTATTTAATTTCAATTTAAAGGCCATTAAAAATCATCAATGGTGTTCCACCTGTTGCTAATGTGATCTTATTTTGTGAGGAAAATTTCTCATGAAAGACTTTTACTGCACATTTTTTATTGAGATTTTTCATTACAGTGGTTTTTGAAGTTAGTATGCGTTAACTTGATACTTGCATCTATGTTAAAGATGACACAAATGTACAACATTTGTGTCATCTTTAACATAAAATTTCAATAAAACGTTGGTTGCGAATCTGGTTGTACATTTGTGTCATTTTAAACATAAAATTTCCACAAAACATTTGTTGCAAATCTTCAAAGCAGATTTTTGGGATGCAGATAGTTTTAATTTAAATTAATAAATTGTTTTTATTATAATAAAATCTAATTATCTTTAATTAGCAAAAAAATATATAGATGTATAAAACTTGCCCTGGAATTTAACATAAAAAAAAACTCTAAATAACGTCTTTTTTTGTTTTTTGTAAAATGCCATATTTCATTCGAACGGAATGTTACAGTTTTTTAGAATATATTTTTGTAATAACCAGGCAAAGCTAACAACATATGTAAATAGCTTTTCTTAAAAAAAAATTTTTAACCAAATGTTTGTTCAGCGACAGTGTATTATAAAAAAATCTTCAAGTTTATTTAATTAGTGGAACGTGCTTTTTTACAGGTTTGATTGTTTGCAAGTTTTTTCTTTAACTGATGTTCAATTTAAAATAAAAATTGTCTAAATTTTAGATAAATCATAACATTTAGAAAAAAAAAGCAGATTTACTTTAAAAAAGTTGTTTTTACTAGAGTTTTTTTAGCCAACTGTATCAGTTTTTTGTTAAATAAGTATAAAGTAAATCCTCATTAAATCAATTGTTGATTTAATTAATGACGCTTTAAATTTGATCAAAAATAAAGTTGAATTTTATAGGATCCTACTATTATATACAAATAACAAAACTATTAAAACAATTTTCTATCATTGCAATCTAAATTAAAAATACTTTTATCTCTGAATTTTCTTCTATTTTCGTGAAAACCTCAATCAGAACCTTTTCTTTGTTTTAATTTTGGTTTTTTAATTTAAGATTTTCGCGAAAACCCTCTATTTTTTTAAACCTTAATTAGAACTTTTTTTTATCTTAGTATTTTCTTCTATTTTTGTAAAAACATTAATCAGAACCTTTTTTTATTTTTGAATTTTCTTCTATTTACGTAAATATCTTCATCAGAACTATTTTTTTACGTAAATATCTTTATCAGAACTATTTTTTAACTTTTAATTTTATGGCTTCTAATTTCTTAAAAACCTTAATCGGGACTTTTTTTATCTTTTGCAAAAACCGCCAATAAAAAGTTTTTTTTGGTCAGATTTTATCAGGTAACATTAGACTGATTTCGGTCTAACATAACCCTTACAACACAATCTTTTACGACCCTTTTAATAGTTATAATTACTCTTCTACTTAACCAAAAAAAAAAAGTTTAGAAATACAAATTTAATAAATTCATAAAAAAATTAACTTTATTTAATTTCATAAAATATATCTAATATAGTACATCATTAAACTTTTTTAAAAATAATAACAAAATGATCCAATTAAAATATCTATAATCACACATATTTATAAAAATCATTAAAAAATGTATTATAATTCCGAGAATTACATACCAACCAAAATTAGAAAATAAACTTCAGCTAGATAACGATAAATGCGGATTGTCGTCATTGACGTAATAAAACTCTCTGCAACCACTTAAACGCAAAATAACTTTTAAAATGTCGTGTCAAAAACAACACTTGACAAAGAACTCAAATATTTATTGCATCTAGTCAAAAATATAATCAAACTTGAAAACTATGTTTCAACAGTCGTACATTTATTAACTGCAAATCCATATTAATCACATATTTAAGTTTAAATAAATCGATTCATCCCAAGTTCTTTTGCTGAAATAGGTAATACACAATAAAGAGTAAGTTAGAAAAAAACAACAATCGACATAAAACACACGTTTGTAATTCAAGATATATTTAAGAGCTTTATTTAAAAAGTGAGAATACCGTCTACCGTCTTTTAAATGAGAATACCGTCTTTTAAATGAGAAAACCGTCTTTTAGTGTTTTTAGCATTTTCTTATTGCTCAATTTAATGCGTTATAAAGTGCAAAAATAAACTTAATAGTAAAAATCAAACTACACAAAAAATATAAACATAAAAAATGAAACTTTACAAAATGAGTATAAAAGTGCGAAAATAAACGGTACGCAAACATGAAAGAAGAATCAATAAACGTGAAGAAATAAAAATAACTTGAGATCATGAAAATACAAAAACGGATGATCGATAAACATCAAAGTATAAAAAAAAAAAGATATACATAAATGATTACCTTTTTTGGAAAAAGCATCTTTCAGATTTTTATCTTCTTCCATTTCCCTATAAAAATTATAAAATGTCAAAATGAAAATTTTTTAGATTTTAAGACAAACAAAAAAAAAAATTTTTGTAAGGTAAGGTTGCCGATATTGTACCGGTGCCTAAATTGCACTTTTGCTGAATCTAGTTATTTTTACAACCCAAAAAACATCTTTTGACTAAAATGTTATCTTTGCTATGTTAAACTTAGGAATCAATTGTTTTTTTGTGAAATGAAGCTAGATTCTGGCAACAGTTACCTCAAGTTGATATAATAAGTTTTCTTATTTTTGGGTTCAATGTTTAGAGTATTACTTTAAATATGTTAAATATGTCTTTTTTATCATATTTATGTAAAAACACTCGAAGTGAGTCTAGTCGCGTAATTTATACCTCACTTAAGGCCTAAATTGTACCATGGCTGCCATTTTGGATTTTGAACATATTTAACTTTTGTCAAGAACAAAGATTTTCTGTTTTGTATTATTAATATAATGTGCAGTGATATCCATTATTTTCCTACCAAAATTCAAGTTACCACATTAGTATGTTACACATTTAATATAAAAGTTTTGCACATTTAATATAAAAGTTTTACACATTTAATATAAAAGTTTTTTATTGATGATAACTGTTTTTAGACTATTCCAGAAAAGATTTATAGTTTTATAGTTTATTAAATTCAAAACTTTTTTACATTGCTTGGCACAGAAAAAGATCTTTACAAAAATCATTCGATATGTACTGGAAATTAATATAGTATTTGTAAAATCAAGATATAGGTAAAATATTGGATTATAATAGTACAATTTAGGATCTTGTTTCCTCAATTGTACCATTAGCATGTTTCTTAAAGTTTAAATCCCTATCAAAAACCAACGTTTAAATTTTGGAATTAAAAGGTATGTTTATACTTTTTAAAACAGTTTATACCCAAAATATAAAATACAATAAAGTCTCATTGTTTCTACTTGGTATTTTTTCTCTATTTTTGCAATGTTATATAGTAAATAAATACGCATCTGGGTATAAGTTTGAAATAAATGGAATACTTGAAAAAACCATTAAAAATATTTTAAAGAAAAAATGATAGAGTTTGTTTCAGAGAAGTGAGCATTTTCTTTTACATATTTGTGGGAACTTATTAATCAAATAAATGTTGATAACAATCTACATGTATAATTACATTATAAAAGATGCTTTAGTAATAGAGAATCTAAATAAAATGCGCAACACTGAAGAAAAGTCTTTTTAATGATAAACCAACTAAATTTTTTATAAATTTAAAGGTTTACCTTATAAACATCAATGCTTTAAGTTGAGCGGTAGATGCAAATTCAATAAAAACATTAAAACTATTTTTAAATCAAAGAAAAGTTGAATGTATTTTCCTTAGAAAAAAGCTTTAAGCCTTCAAGCTTAGGTTACTTTTCTGTCAAATATTTTTATTAGCAATTAATAAATTATTTATTTGATTTATGTTAGTGTATACTGAAAAAAGTAAAATAGTTTGAATTAAGATTTACATCTCGGTTTGTGTAAAAATAGTTTTAACATATTTAAGGTTTACCACTATTTCAATTTATGTAAAAACACTTTTAAAATAATATTGTATGCAAAATCTATATAAAGTACACAAAAAATATCAATCAAACTTTGATATCTAATTTAAACACAAATATGTTTTTTTTTGTTAACATTCACCCCTCAAAAGACCTTATAGATGCGAATGAACTCAATACAATATACAATATACAAATACAATATAATATATAAAACACAATATAATATATAAAATGCAATACAATATAATATATAAAAATACAATATAATATAATATATAAATACAATATAATATATAAAAAAATAATATAATGTAAAACTCAATACAATATACAAATACAAAATATTACAAATATTAAAATATTAAATTAAAAATAAATTTTTTTAAGCAACAAAAATAATTTTAAATTTTAGGCCTAAATTTTAAATTAAACTTAAAACCAAACTTTGATATTTACATTTGATTAAAATATATGACTTGATGAAAAGTAAATACTTTCACAAGCTAGTAGGTCTTTTATTTGTTGTTCTAATCTTGCTTGTTGATCTTCTAGTTGAATTGAATTGTATAACAAGCTCTGATTCAAATCGAAGCAAAATATTTTTTTATTTAAAGTAGAAAACAGTAGTCACTTTAATTGTTTAATTACTTTTGTAAAAACAAAACATATGGTAACAACATGTTTATGACATACAAGGTGTCATTTAAGTTGGCAGGGGGTAAATGAAAAAATAAATTGATCTATTATACATGGAAGATTTACCTTCAACATTGCAATAAAACCAAAAAATTTCTTTTCTTAATGAAAGTCTTTTTTTCTAGAAATTCTTATTTCATATATATTTATAAGACTACTTAATTGAAACAAAATAAATGCAAATTTAATTTGAAGTACACCTTGGCAATTCATTAATGATTTAACAACTGATTGTTAAACAATCAGCAGTTAATAATTTAATATTTTTTTCCATGGGTGTAACTAACTAAACATTATATCTAATGTTTAACAAATTTAACCAATTGATACAAGTTGAAAAGTTTATAAAAAAGTTAGAGATATCTATATATATTTTCTTAAAAATATAAATAGATACCAAAGTACTATGTACAGATAAATAAATGTACAAGATTTCCTCTTGATAAAATGTTATTTATAGCATTGGAGATTTTTTCAATAACATTGATGGAGGAACTTTTGTAATATTTTACAAAATAATTTTGATGAACTTTTATGTAAAAATCTACAAAAACGAAAATACCTTAATCTATCTTCTTCCAACAATTCTACTAACACATTTCGCTGTTCAACTGTATCTACCAACTCTTTTGTTAAGATTTCTATCTGTACTTGTGAGTCAGGAAGCCGTTCTTAAATTTTTAAACAAAGTTATCAAAAAAAATTTAATTTATATTAAATTTAATTATAATATATTAAATCAAATATTAAAATATTAAATCAAAAATAAATTTTTAAATGTTACAAATATTAAGATACAATATACAAATACAAAATATTACAAATATTAAAATATTAAATCAAAAATAAATTTTTTTAAGCAACAAAAATAATTTTAAATTTCAGGCCTAAATTTTAAATTAAACTTAAAACCAAACTTTGATATTTACATATTTACAAAAATATATGACTTGATAAAAAGTAAATACTTTCACAAGTTAGTAGGTCTCTTATTTGTTGTTCTAATCTTGCTTGTCGATCTTCTAGTTGAATTGAATTTGATTGTATAACAAGCTCTGATTCAAATCGAAGCAAAATATTTTTTTCATTTACCAGCAAGCACCACTCAAGTGTAAGTTTGCGAATAGCATCTTTTGATACTAAAACAAAGCATAAAATTCATCATCAATTAACTTTTCAAAATTATCACAGTTCATTTTAGTTTTTCGTTTTTTTCAAAAAATATGGAAATAGTAAAAATGATCCAATATTGTTAAAAAAAATTTTAAAATCATTTTCAACTCTATTTGATCTCAAAAATTTCAAAAATTAATTATATTATTTTTTAGATTGATCCATGCCAATAACATTATTTTCAAAACTTAAAAGATTTTCAAATCAAGAGATTGCAAAAATGTCTTTTATATACTTTTAACATAATATATGAAAATAATGACAAACTGAGAAAAAGATGAGTGAAAGTAAATAGTACATAGTGTCTATGCATCAGTTATTGACCAACACAGAGATAGGAAAAAATACTTTAGCATAAATTGACTGATAAGTTTTAAAGGAGCTACAGATTAAATTGTCATAATAAAAATGTACAAAAAACTAGAATTAACACAGGTATTAAGTCAATTATAAATACATATATCTGAACATAAATTTAAAATATGGCCTGTTGAAAAAAATATTGAAAATGAGAATTCGGTTGATGAAATCTCAGTAAAAAAAACAGTTTTAATTAGATGCTAAAAGCAAAATTAAAAAAATTAAAAAAATATAACATACATACATACTTTATGACTTTGGGTTAATTAAAAAGACAAACACAATTGCATAGCTCGTTGTTTGTATGCTATGCTCTATCTAAGAATGATTCAAGTTCTCTTTAAACTTAAATCATGCCCAAAGTAAACCAAAATATTAAACATAAAAAACCATCCTTAACACCTAACAGTTTCACCATATATTTCATAAATATTTGTCGTCTGAGAAGTACCCTTCCATCAATTGAATATAACCTCTTGGTGAGACTAATTTATATTTGGTCGTTCCTTCTTAGAACTTCTTAGGCACTTGGTTGGCTTGGATGTATACTTACGCATCAATTCATCTATTTGTCAAGAAACTAGGTTTGAATCCCTTGACCATTTATTTATGTGCTTCCGCTTAGCAACTTTTCACTTACCATTCTCCATATCACCTTCATATTCCTTTGTTTTGACTTTCTCTTTGTTTTTACTTTCTCTTTGTTTTTACTTTCTCTTTGTTTTTTATCATTTTCCTTCTTCTCAAGATTATTTGAATCAAATTGAGTTTTACAGTTTTTAAAATTTTAGAAAATTTACAAAAATTTTATGTATTGTTTTCTATTTAAAATTTTACTATTTTTTTTTTAAGAAATATATTTATAGGTTTTATCAGCTCTGCCGAGGTCTATTATTAAAATATAAGGATCATTCTATGATAACTTTTTAACAGTTTAAATTTCTACTGCACACTAAACAATTGCACCTTTATATTATTTGCTCTCTATTAAAAAATTTCTTAAACTCTAAGGTATAATACTATTTTATTATACCTTAGAGTTTAGCCCTTTCTCTTTACCCATCTATTAATATTGTTGTTATTGGTGACTTTAATGCTCATCATACTGAATGGGGTTGGCTCTAATATCAATGATCTTGCTGGCACTAAAGCCTATAACTTATGCATTTCTCAATCTTATACTCAGAAAGTTAACTTTGTGACTCATTTTCCAGACAACCCTAATCACTTACCTTCACTCCTTGATTTATGTCTTGTTTCTGACCCTAGCTTGTGTTCATTTTCTCCTTGCTCACTTTTTTTGACAATTTAACGATCTTAATAAATATTTTGTACTCACCCTAGCATTGCGCTACTTACTACTATACTAAAGCTGACTGGAATGCTTTTCATAATTTTATTTGTGATGGTCTTTGGGTTGATGTATTTTTTCTCTCTGCCAATAAATGCACCTCCTACATAAGCTCCTGGATCCAGGAAGGAATGAAAGCTTTTATTCCTTCTCGTCAATTCCAAGTCAAGCCTCATTCTACTCCATAGTTTTCACCTTCTTGTGAAGCTGCTATATCTAATCATAATCATTTTTTCATCTTTTTAAAAAGAACGACTCTCTTGAAAACAAACAGCTACATATTATTGCAAGAAATCCATGTGGAAAGGTGCTGTCTGATGCTAAGCTTCATTATTCTCAGTTTACTAAATCCTTTATCTTATCTCAGGAGTTAGGCTGTAGAGACTTGGAAAATCTTCAACAGCATCATTAACAAAAGGTAGGTCTAACATTCCATCTCTCATTAATGGGACTGATCTTATTACCTTTCCAAGGACAAGAATAAACTATTTGCAAATAACTTTTCTTTTAATTCGATTTTTGAATCTTCTGACCATACTCTTCTTATTGGGCTATTGCTCTTGAGATATCTAAAGATATTTGCATAAAGTTTTTTGAAATAATGTTTATATTATATATGAAATTTTGCTAAATGAGCAATTGTATGATGCAAAAGGTAACACACCTAATCTTTATGATGGGAAATGTCATATATCTATTCTTTATGATGCAAAAGGTCACATATCTAACCTGTATGATGCAAAAAATCACACAGCTAATCTTTATGATGCAAAAGATCACATATCTAATCTTAATAAATCAAAAGATCACATATCTAATTTTTATGATGTAAAAGATCACATATCTAATCTTTATGATGTAAAAGATCACACATTTAATCTTTATGAAGTAAAAGATCACATACCAAATCTTAATGAATCAAAAGATCGCATATCTAATCTTTATGATGCAAAAGTTCATATATTTAATCTTTATGGAGAAATCAGTTCTCATTTAAACACTATAGAAAAAAATGCTACCCAAGGAAATGGTGAATTTATGATTATATAAAAAATATCATTGCCCAATAAACCTTTTGATTGCTGCATGAGCAAAACATAAGTAGAAACACCCACTGCTAGCTTTATGAGTGCTTTTTTTTCTTCAATGTTGCATATTAATTTTTTTCAATATTAACAAATGTGTAAAGCTTAGGATTTATAAAAACATATTTTACTCGGTCGGATCCAGGATACTCAGTCGGATCCAGGACCAGGATTAATTCTAAGTCATACACCAAGAATCTTTAGTGGTTAAACTTTAAAGAATTTTTTTGCAAAACTGTAACCATCTCCATTAGATTATATATAAAATTTATAAATAATCTAATTATATGTGGCTAAAAACACACATAATTAAAAATATATAACTTTTATATATCTTACATCTTATTATATAAACATATATTTGTGAAGTACATATGACACATTTGATAATTATTAACTAAAAATATTTTGATGGAAAACAAATAACTTACATGATTCATTTCTGAGATCTTTTTCTACTTTTCTAGCGCGCTCTTCAAGCTCAAATTGCTTCACATCAACTTCATTTAGTTTACGTTGGATAGATTGCGCTTCCCACAGACGTTTCATCTCACGCTCTTTCATTTCCTTTTTAATTTCGTGTTGTTGCCGCAAATAATACTTTTTGGAAACAAGTTCTTCTTCTTCTGCAGTTAAATCTTTTTTCTATCTCAAATAGAAAAATGTTGAATATAAATTTGTTGAATATAAATGCTGTACATATAATGTTGAATATAAATGCTGAATATAAATTTCAATATTTGTATTTCAATACTAATATAATATGGTAAAGATAAGACAAAGATAACAAAATGATACAAATAGGATTTCGGAATACTATTTAACAGTAATAGTTTGTTATTTCAATACTGTGATGAATTCCAATGACAAAGTTTAATCAAAACAAGATAGAATTTAATATAAAATATAAAATTTAATATAAAATATAGAATTTATTATAAAAGATAAAAAAGTTAATCAAAACAAGTAAGCAAATTTTTTGATTTCAATATTTTCAGATAAAAGTTTCAAATTTAAAAAATAAATAAATAACAATTGCTAAAAAAAAGTTTGATTTGATTTTCTTTATTAATAACAGTTTAATAAATAGTTTAGATAATAATAAATAACTTTTGTTTTATTAAATAAATTACTATTTTTTATAAAAAAAAAATACGAGTACAGGCTAATAGATAGTTTCTTATTTTACTAAAAGTTTCTTAAGAGTTTCTTAAGTTATAAATAGGCTTTTAGCACCAGTTTCTTAAATTAAATTTTAGCACCAGTTTTTTAAATTAAATTAGCAAAAGTTAATTTAAGAAACTGTTAAGACTGAAAAAATCATAACTGAAACAAAGTTAGCAGTTATGATTTTTTTTTTAAAGGTGGGTAAAATGGCTACTTAATATTCTTATCTTCCATATTTTTGGCAATGCCAGTCTGGATATACGTAACAAAACATAAAAATACAATTGCAAAAGAGTTGAAAAGACAATCTCAGTGTTGTAATAAAATAACAAAATGCTACGAAAGAAATTCTACAATTACCTTAAAAAATGACTTAAATAGTCACAGAATATTTTTGGATGGCAAAAGAATCAACATTAAAAATGGCAACATTAAAAAGACAAAAGAATCAACATTAAAAGAGGAGAGTGAGAGTGAAGTGACAAAAAACTATTGGCAACTTCTTAATACAAAACTCTGTCTTTAATTTGACTATGGATGGTATTTCTATTTAAGCCATTACCATAAATACAGCGCTCAAAATAGTTTTTCAAAGCTTGCCGATCGAATGTAATTTTTTCACAAAAACAGGTTATTTTCCCTTGAATTTTTTGAAATTTCCCTAAAAATAGCCGAACATTGATCAGCCATTATTTCGAGCGCTGTATATATATATATATATATATATATATATATATATATATATATATATATATATATATATATATATATATATATATATATATATATATATATATATATATATATATATATATATATAAGAAACTCTCTAGTCAATAGCTGATGGATTCAATTTAAAAATTTAATATAATTTCAAGGTGGTTATTTTCACAGGTGTTTGTTATGTTGTGTATATGATGTTCTGTGACATTATTTAGAAAAAAATCATATGTAAAAATCTGATTTAAACTTATCACATATCAATGAGAAAATTTAACAACAATGTTTGAAAGTTTAACAACAATGTCAGTTTTGAATGTTTAATAACAATGTCAGTTTTAAAAGTTTAACAACAAAGTTAGTTTTGAAAGTTTAACAACAATGTCAGTTTTAAAAGTTTAACAACAAGGTTAGTTTTAAAAGTTTAACAACAATGTCAGTTTTAAAAGTTTAACAACAAGGTTTGTTTTAAAAGTTTAACAACATTGTCAGTTTTGAAAGTTTAACAACAATGTCAGTTTTAAATTATTTATGGTAGTGTTAATGTTTCTACAAATTCTGTTTTACACTAATGATCAATACTTCAAGTCCTATTCAAAAAACTGTTTCGAGTATATATTTGCATTTTTTTAAATACTCTTAAGTAAGAGTGACTTACTTAGTCATCTTAAAAAAATCCATTGCCATATTTCAATATAATTACAAAGATATATATATATATATATATATATATATATATATATATATATATATATATATATATATATATTATATATATATATATATATATAAATCTTATGCAAAATTGGCACTTCAGTTATTTATGCATAAGTTATACTCCTAACAACCAATCAAATTTATCTAAAATTATCTGCTTTTTCTAATGAGTTCGTATGTTCTTTGCCTCAGTTGCATTGAGTGACATTTCAAAACTATAAAAATTTCATCGCTATCTTGAGGTGAGATAAAAAAACTTTTATTATTTTGCATTTAAGATAAAATTTAAATAAAACTTTTAAATTCAAATAATCTGGAAATAATAATTTCACACAACTTTTGAAATTCCAGAAAAATGTCATAATCAACTTAACTTAAAGAAATCTTTTAATTATATAATATAAACCGGAAATTCAAAAAAACATTCAAAATAATTTATGAAGAATAAAATGATTTTTTTGATGAATAAATTTTTTTTTTGATGAATGAAAATATAAAAGTTTAAAAAATTTATTTAAGCTTCAAAATTAAAACTTCAAAAAAATTTTAAATTAAAACTTATATATTTTTAATTTGAACCTCCCTAAGGCCATGAAGGCCACTACAATTGGGGAGGCTGATTTGGTTGTGGTTACAAACATCTCTCAACTCTATAACTTGGAGAAACAAGTTGAGAGCAGTATTACCAGGGACATTGTGGGAATTCAGAATTTCTCGCTTATGAAGCGAGCACTCTACCACTACACCACTACCACAAAACTATTTATTTACTATTAACAAACTTTTATTTAATGACTTTTTAAAAATATTTTTCCTAACTAAATGAACTTCTCCACTAATTTTTCATAACTAAATGAACTTCTCCGCAAATATTTTTCCTAACTAAATAAACTTCTTCACTAATATTTTTACTCAATTAATATACTTTTTTCCAACTTTTTCAAAAACTTGTTACAAACCTTTGACTTTTTTGCAAAAATTTTAAATACTCCATGATAAGTTGTGTCCTTTTTCTCTTCATCATAAATTGAATCAGTGTCTGAATCATTTTCAGAGACTCCTGAATTAAATATTTTATAGATAATGAAAGAGCAACATATTGATAGCAATACAACAAATAGTTTTAAAAGACAACAATAAACAACAATATAACAGTTACAGTGTTGAAGCAAAAATAACTATTTCAAATAAATTTTTGTTTACCACTTGCTTCCTTTATTTCTTCCATCTTTGAAGGTTCATTTATTATTACTTCAGAAGAACCTTTTAAAAGGATATTTTCTGATGTTTGAGCAGTTGTTGATGAACCAGCATCAACAAAGATTTTTTTTTTCCTTCTTAGAACAAGCTTCTTTTTCTTCTTAACTTGATCTAAAACCATTGAATAAGAACAAACAAAAACAATTTTTTAAACAAGTAATAAAAATTAATTAATCCTAATATAAATGTACTTAATTGTAAATATAGCTTCATGAATAATTATATTGATCAAGTATAAAGCTCTTTAAAATAAAATCATGTATTCTTTATTAATTCTGACCTGCTGATTCCAAAACTGAAATCAGAATATTTATATTATGTCAGAGAAAAAAGTTAAAATGATTTCATTAAAATAAAATATAACAACAATTGAATAATGAATAGTCCGATATGACATCTTAAAATATTAAAAAGCTTTATATATATATATATATATATATATATATATATATATATATATATATATATATATATATATATATATATATATATATATATATATATATATATATATATTATATATATATATATATATATATATATATATAAATATATATATAAATATATAAATATATAAATATATATATATATATATATATATATATATATATATATATATATATATATATATATATATATATATATATATATATATATATATATATATATATATATATATATATATATATACATATATATACATATTTAACCTATTAACTGGCTGCAATATGAAGATGAAAAGTGCATTTGTTTATGGCTGTGGTATACTTCTGACCTTAAAATCAATAAAGCGGTAAAATCTGCTGAACCTCCCAAATCTACTTGGAAACTGTTTTTTGTTAGAGTGCTGCATTCTTACAGTACTGTTTTTTGTTAGAGTGCTGCATTCTTACAGCTTATTTTACGTTTAATGGCACTTCCAACAGAATATTGGAACTTCCAACAGATATTGACGCAAAAAAAAGGAAAGTGAAAAGGTTAATTTTTTTATTCTAACTTCAATTTATTTGATTATTTCAGTTAATTGTTAACATGATGTTTAAAATTATGCTATGTATAACAATATTCTATGTTATGGTGTTCATTTTATCTATTGGTAATATAAAATTTATCTATTGTCAATATAAAAGTTTGTTTTATCAATACATAAAATAAATACCAAAACATAATAACCCTATAACACAACAGTAGTAAAAAGGGTTAAAAACTAATTTAGGTCATTACCAGTTTTATGGAATGAATTGTGTAATTCAGATTCCGATTATACAAAATCTGAAAATGGAAAGAAGTTTTCGGTATCATTTTCAACCTCAAACCTGAAGTTTCCTACTCCTCCTCAGTTGCAATCCGGTTAGATTTTTGCATTTTAATAAATATTTTACAGATCATTAATGATCCATCAACATTCTTAACATTAATGATTATAATTGGCCATTAATGACATTTAAAAAAATAAAATATGTTTTTATATTATACTATATTTTGTTTTGAAAAATATTTGATATTACAAATATGTTTATAATGCATTATTTGTGCATAGAAATTCAAAATGGGGTTCAAAATGCATCATCTACTATCTTCTCTCTCTCGTCATTATTTTTAAATGATTTATCTTTTATTAAAAAAGGTTGGTTAACACTTTTTTTTTTAACTTGAAAGTTTTACAATTTTTAAAGTTTAAATTATGGTTTGCAAACTGCCTGTTTGTATATGTGTGCTTGTAAAAATAAGCTTAATTATTTAAATAGACAACCAAACTACACTACCATCATCAATATTAATGCCAGTGCTTACTATAGCACTGCAAGTAGAGCAGTTATCACCTGATTTGGTCAATTGTCATGTTGGAGGTGTGTTTCATTTATTTATGCATTAACAAATGATGAATTTGTTTGTTTGTTCATATGAACTTAATATATATAGAAAATATTTTCTTACTATTATTACTATTATTTTTATTAAAGTATTATTATGTGTATTTAAAATATATATATTTATTTTATTTTTCTTTGCATTTAGGAAATGATCATCGAAAACTAATATTATTAGAAGAGATTAAACAAAAATAATCAAACTATAATTTTTCTTCTGCAACAATTATCAGCAGCGTGGTAATATAGAAACAAGTTTTGATGAGTTTGGGCTTCCTGTTTCATCAATGGAACATTTACAAAAACTAGAAACAGATTGCCTTGACAATGACCTCCGAGGATAGTTTGTAAGATATTTGTTATAATTGTTTAGTTCCCTTATTCAAGTTACTTTAAATTTATTACACACTAAATAATATCTTTTAAAATTATTTTTTTCTTTTTAGACCTTTTTTAGTCCCTTTAGTTATTTTGGTCAGTGTGGCGCAGGTTTGGCATTAAAAAAACTGCTTAAAAAAACCCGCCCAAAAAAGCCTGCCTAAAAAAACCCATTAAAACCCGTGTAAATCTGAGTGTTATTGAGTTTTTTAAAGATATTTAATAAGTTTATGAACTGTTATAACCAACTTTAACATTATTAACTATAATATTATTAACTAACATAATTATTAATTATTATTATTAACTAATATTATTAATTTTAATAACCAACAATAACAGCTATCAGACTAATATTTGAATCATTACTTGGAAATACATTATAAAAATTTTTATTAAAATATTTTTATCAGTTGAGATTTTTTAATCTTTTATGTTATTCACCTCCTTAGGTGAATTTAAATGAGTATTAGTGCCCAGAGAAAGCCACTACAGTCGAGAAGGCTACCTTGTGACTACAATCCTCTTTCAATTCTTTAACTCCTAAACACAATTTTTTATAAACAAGACCATTGCGCGAAGAAACAAGTTCGTTTATCTAAATTTCAAGTTCAAATTTCAATTGAAAATTTAGTTACTACCTCCTATTCTATAGCTTTCTTTCTCCCATTTCTCATTGACATTTTTAATTACATAGAATAATACTTTTAAATTTAAATTAAACCAATACATATAGATTTAACACAAAATATTTTTTTCCTATTATAGTTTTAAATTAAATTTAAATCTTTTTCAAATTAATTTGAAAAGTTCTTATGAATTATTAAATAACAATATATAAATATATTTTAAATAAAATTAAAGTAGAAAATTTCATTTAGTTTTTTTTTTTTTTTTTCAATATTATTGAAAAAAAAACATTTTTACACAGACGAAATAAAAATAAAACCCAAAAAAACCCAAGTTTACCCAATAAAACCCGAAATTACCCAAAAAAAAAAAACACTAAGCCGGTTTTTTTTTTAAAAAAAATCTGGGTTTTTGCCAACCCTGGTGTGGCAGAAAAACTATCAATGAATCAACTAAAAATGTTATTAAGCAGTTAATATCAAACAACATAGCAGTAGTTAGTAATTGGGAGGGGAAATATGCCTTTGGCAATAGCAAGCTTTGTCAAATTATAAATAGTGCATTATTTTTTTTTTGTTTTAAAATGTCATTATTTCATCTTACTATTGATGTTTTTTTTATTAATATTTTTTTAAAAAATATTTACTTATAATTTTCATCGTTTTATATAAATGAAAGTAAATGAGTTTATAGTTGATACTTATAAGTGTGTATGCATAATACATGTTTATTTTATTTAGATGCTGTTCGGCATAATCCAACAACATGTCGCAGTACGGATGCAAGGTTGCTTGTGCCATTAAAGCAAGGCTTCAATTCGCGAAATTCATGTGGAGGGAGGAGAAGAAACATCATTTTAACGATTTTAGTTATATAGTTTTATATATAGTTTATGATTTTTTTGTATGTGTGTAATAGTTTAAATTATTTTGTAACATTTAACTAGAAACCAACAAATTTATTAACTTTATTATGTAACTTTAAATACTTTTACATTTTCAACTTTCATAATAACGTTAGTTCAATGAGTATCAAATCATCCCAGTCGTCACACAACGCGTTGCTAACAAGGTTGGAAACAATGCTTGAAGTCTTAGGCCAACGTTAATAAAATGCACAAATGCAAATACAATATAAAACTAACAGTGTGCCAACGCAATGCCAAACACATTGAGTATACACGATGCCGACATAGACCCGATGGGCGGCCGATCATATGCCAACGCGATTCCAACCTTTAAACATTATTACGCCAACATAGCCCCTACAAACCCATACCAACGGTGCGCCAATGTAAAGTCAACATTATACGAAATGCGTTATGCCAACGTGTCGCCAACTGTTTTACTTGGTTCGGCCAACGTTACGACAACAATTTAAAACCATAAGTGGGCCAACATTGTGCCAACAATATTAAGTGTATGTTATGCCAACGTAGGCACGATGGGCAGCCAACCATATGCCAGCACGACACCAACTTACGGCCTACCAAAACGTCTTGTTGGCCCAACAATCAGAAATACGTTGGGCCAACGTTGGGCCTACTAAGTTGTGCTGCTCGGGGAAACTTTAAAAACTATAATAAAGAATCATTTAAATCTGAATTATTTAAAGTTGATTGGAATGATATTACCAATAAAAACGATGTTAACTCCAGTTTGAAGCATTTATTTCTCAAACAACATTGTTGTTAGATTGTCATGTGCCACTCAAAAAAATTAGTATTAAGAGCTACAAGAGTCAATTCAAGCCATAGATTACTAAAGGAATAATAAAAATCAATTCAAATTTGAAATCTTATTCAAGGGAAAATGTTAAAGACAAAAGATCCAACAAATATAATTAAACTAAAAACTATCTTTAAACGCTATAAATATACCATAATTAATCTAATAAAACTTAGTACAAAAATACATTTCTATTCTATTCAGAAAATATAAAAAATCTTTGTGAGCCCTGGAAAGGCATAAAAAGTCTAGTAAATGTCAAAAATGTCAATAATAAACCTCCAAATTGCTTACAAGTTAATGAAACATACATAACTGAACCTACTCTAGTCTAAGAAGAACTCAAAAACTTTTTCACAAATGTAGCTCATAAACTTAATTCTAAAATTCATTTATCTTACATTAGCTATAAAATCTTAAACATCCAAATCTTCATAGTTTACTGATATCTCCAACAAACTATTCTGAAATCTCATCACTTATATCTAAATTAAAATCTAGAAAA